ATTAAAGGTCTTTCTAGTAATATTTACACTTGTTGGGCACATTTTTCATCATGTATAATATTAAAGGTCTTTCTAGTAATATTTACACTTTTTGGGCACATTTTTTATCATGTATAATATTTTAGGGTCTTAATCTTAGTACCTAAACTTGTTGGGCACATTTTTACTTATGTTTAGCATTATAGGATGTCAATAATAATATTTACACTTTTGGGTCCATTTTTAATTATCTATAATATTGTAGTGCATTAATAATAATATTTAAACTTGTTGGGCATCTTTTTTATCATGTATAATATTTAAACTTGTCAGGTAAATCTGTAACATGGTTCTTATCATGTCTCTGTTGTAAAGCTGCTGTTCAGTGAGTGGCGGTGACCTAGTGTGACCTGTCCTTCAGGTGAAGGTGTTTGGACGCGGAGCAGCAACCGGAAGTGCGCTGCTGTGCATGAGCACGAGCTTCACGGAGCTGAACTCTGACAGACTTGTTGCTTCTCCGAGGATCAGAGGACGTTCTGGGGGGGGCGACGTAAAGTTCCGGGTTGCGCAGAGTTGTTGGCGCTGCGCGTTCTTTCACCCACGCGCACACGCGTCTCCCCTCGCGGTGGGACAAACCGCCTCGACCAATCAGCGCGCTGCTCGTGCGCGGCGAGGGCGCGAGCTGACGGGCCGCTACAAATACTCCGCTGCACATTTTTTAATTCTATGCGCCTTTAGGTCGCAGCTCCAGCCCGACTGAGGAGACCTCGTGGTGCTCACAGACCTCCGTAACCTGGAGACTCCGCAGGACCAACCGAAACTTTTCTCCAACTTTTTTTTTCTCCAATAAACAAAGAGAAAGAGTTGGAATCTAGGTCGGAGCTGTTTGAAAGTTTCTGTGCGGTTAGCGGAGTCTCGCTTTGTCCATCCATCCTTCCAGAGCTCCTTTACGCGTCCGTTACCGGCCAAGATGACGCGAAGATCCTGCGCGGTTTACGTGGTGGGGATCATCTGCGCTCACCTGCTCATCGTCGGGATTGGCTTGATGGTGTCGCAAGCTTTCCGCACGTTAATGCACAACCGCCTGAAAAAGGTAAACAAACAAACAAACAAACAACTAGTCATCTCCACTTCTATCCTCCAAACTTTATCAAGTGAGTGTGTATGCAGGGCAGCTGAGAGTTTTCACGCCCGGTTCCTTTGAATGGACTGCTGTGTACAAGTCCACTGGTGGAAAACATCACAATGTGGGATTGTGCTGTGATCCTCTCTCATTTACAGACCTTCCACTGTTTGGAAACTTCAGAGGATTAGATGGAAAGCTCAGTGTTGTTGTCAGGACAGGGGCGTAGATTCCATTTGATCACTGGGGGGGTCCTCGCCCTGCAAAGTCTGAGCCTCCAACACTTGTTTTCTCGCGTTTTGGTCTGTTTTTATGCACCAATTTGTGCCTTTTTGCACCAATTAGTGGTGCAAATAATATTTATTTAAAGGAAAACACTATTCAGACACTAGGGGACACTTTAATATATAATATGTTTTCTTGTTGATCAACTTTTCTCATTTATTAGCACACACAGAGCTCCATTATTTGAAAGCTGTTATGTTAATTACCACCTAGTTTTACATTTGTTCACTTAATTATTTTATTTTAAGATTTTTTTTTTTTAAGTTAAATTTCTTATATTCCAGCTTCTTCTTCTTCTTCTTCTTGTTCTATGTGACCGTATACTGAATATCTTCTGGTCGTGGATCACATTTTTCAAAAACTGTTTTCTGACAGATTAAATCGATTGATCCAGAAAATAATCAAACACAATAATCGACACACACACATAGAAATCATTTGACTCTTCGGTCCTCATTTGTGTCTTTAGAGAAGCTTTAAATGTGCTTGTGGAACCAATTCAATGATGGAATAATTTGTTTTATTTTAACTCATGAATCCTTGGACTTTTTTAACTTGTGTGTCCAAGCAAGTTGTCTGCTTATGTTCTAAACTATCTGCACATTCTGAACATGTTCGATAAACTGAAGAAGTTCTATTGGAGGCAGTGTGGTCAATAAGTCAATGAGAAGGTTAGAAAAGTGTCTTGTTTTTATTGGTGTAGATGGTTTCCAGTCATTCTGATGCACCTTAATTCATGTACGTGGGACTAGAGCCATAATTTCACAGTTTGTTTTTCATTAGTTGTCATTATCAATTCTGTCAGTAATCTTTTCGGTTCACTGATTAGCAGCAAAACAGCAAAAAATAAAACTTATCACAACTTTGCAGTGCTAAACAGGAAGCGATCAAATGTCTTATGTAGAAATCATTTACAAAGTGAATCTGTCCCAGTTTTGCAGCCTGTTTTTGTGCCAGTCATCTACTGAACCGTCCAGCTAATCATTTCAGCTCGTCATCGGGATGTAAAATGTGTTAACTCAATGACTCAACCAGCAACGGTGACTCTGGACTTTGAATAAACATGAGCAGCAGACTGAAGTGTGTGTTCCTCTGCTGTTTCTAGCTTGTGGTTTGTTAAAATGGAAAATAATGAGCTGCATAGTGCCTCCCACAAGGAGTGGCTCTAAAAAAAAATCAGCTCAGACTTGTGGAGATGGCAGAGTTGGAGGCTGTAATGGGTTCAATGACCTCAACTATGCAATCAGCACTTTCTCTTCCCCATAGCTGGGCTACTTCAGCCCCAGTTCCTGCTCCAATATCACGCACTCTGTTAAAAGACTCTATGAGTACGACATTTTTCATGCTGATTGTGGAGCTGAAGGAATTCCTGACGCCACATTGATGTATGGTTCTGCCTTCAGTTACTTGTAATTATGACAGCAGGTGGCCTTAAGGCTAAGAATAAGTTAGGGCTGGGTTGGTATTTCTGACAGATAGAAGTCAACTGATACTGATTGTTAGCAATCAAGGAGGAGGGTCATTGATGTGTATTAGCAGTAAAAATGGAACACTTTGAAAAGCAGACATCACAGCTTTGTTCAGACACTTTTCTTCATTTGTGCTTTGCATGTGTTTAATTATAAGAGATCCTTTCAGCATTTATAGTTCAGTGTTGACAAGCTGTTAATCTAATGTAACCAATCAGAAGCTGTGGGCGGGACAGAGTCATGACCACAGAGAGAGACGAGCACACTGTAAAAAATAAAAATTTTGAACAGTTTATAACGGTATTTTTTCAAAAATCAGCTTATTGTTATACAGATATAAACTGGTAAAAACCAAAGAAATAAATTCATTGACATGATAATGATTTAAAAAAAAAAACAACAACAACACAGCCGAAACTGTATTTGTACAAATTCATTTTATTTATTTATTTTTTACATTTGTCGTTAAAATTACCCAATTTTTACTGTATTTAAATCAGCAAAACGTATTATTATTTTATTGATATTTGCCATGATTTGAAGGAAACATTTTATTATATGGGCAGAAAAATAGAAAATCGTTTTTTTAAACTGCTATTTTACAGATTTTTCAAATTTGTTGTATTTCTGGTGATATTTAGAAAAATCTGGGGGGGAAAAGTATTAATTTACATCTGAACAAAGGTAAAAACTGTAATGTCCACATCAAGAATCCGTATTTTAACAAAAAGATTCTATTTTTAGTTTTTTACCATGTCAGGCTGTACTATTTTCTTTTTCTTTTTACTGCATTTTAGCTAAGATATAATTATTTTACAGATGTTTACTAATATTCATTTTTTATTTATGTTATATATATATATTACACTATTTGACTGTTTTTGTATTTTTTTAACATTTTTTTTCTGACCCACATGCTGTCAGATTTTTATGCTTTTTTTGTTATTTTTTTTCTTTTTCTTTTTTTTTTTTTACAATAAGAAATGAATAAATAAATTGTTGGGGATCTTTTTTTGTTTTTGTTTTTTTTGTTTTTATACCATACTGGCATTTGGAAAAATGCTGTGGATATCAGATGTGATGACTGACCAGACTTACAGTCAGTCGACCTCTTTTGATGAAGACAAAACTGAGCGAAACTTGGGAATGAGGAGCAGTTGGCAAAAATTCTGTTTTGAATTCAGTCCAGTTAGTCACTCATTAAGTAGCTACTGGCGCTGTTTGATTTCCAAAGCTCACTCAAAGAGGTGCCCAACATCAATGTATTATTACAGTATTCAGAGACAAGAGGGACAGGACACTCTCAAAAAAAAGTCCATTTGTGTCCCCCAAAGGTACAATCTGCACTAGTGTGATCCCAAGGGCTTATTATTGTACCTCAAAGTGTATACTGTTTTTAGGGCCTAAAGAGTGCATGTATGTTTCTAAGCAGTAAAAAGTCCATGTTTCTCCTAAATGTTAAAGTGCAAAATCAGTTGACAGTTTGTGTTGGACTAAATAACATAAAGAAAAGAGAGAAAGAATAAAATATTAGGTGGTAGAACAGATTGTTCACTAATCACAACGTTGGCGGTTCAGTCCGCTCAACTGTCATGTGAATGGGTGAATAGGAAACATTGTAAAGCGCTATGATTAGCTCGAAGGTGGAAAAGCGCGATCAAAGTGGAGACCGTTTATGTGAGTAATTGCTAATACAGTTTCCAATCAATACTGTATTTTGGAGTACAGAACTGTGGGTCATCCTGAAGTAAATATTGGAACCATTTTTCTTTGGGAACAACCCTGACTTGGTTGGCATGACTGTTGTGGTGCATTTTGTGGTGAAAATTCAACCTCAGAGGTAGTTCAAGGTTTTTTGACACTTTGACAAATGCTTGTTGGAGAAAAGCCTGGAGATCGATGGAAGTATGTGCTCGAGGTTAGCCAACTGATCTCCAAAGATCTTGTGTGATTACAGTAATGTTTAGCTCTCAAAGTTGTAAAGTTGCTGTTCTGCACCTGTGTTTCCCGAAGGTGAAAAGTCCAAGTCAGTGGTTGATAGTGAAAGCAGTTTTGAGTCGATCAGAGACGCTGAATTGGGAGTTTCTGAGTTGTGGTTTTCAGCTCCCCCACGGCGTCACGTTGTTTGGTCTGTGGGAGCAGAAGCAGCTTCGTCACTGAAAGCTGAGGGGAAATTATGGAACTAGTGCGATGATCAGCACTGTCACACGTACACTCATCTCACTCAGCTCAACATGCTTAACTGTGCTTTTTGAAGAGTTCTCAGGGGTTGCAGGTTCAGTCACACAGTTAGCAGTCAGTTGACCTCAAATACAAATGAATGAACACCGTTAAAGCATGTGACTGATCTGAAAGTAAGACCACATCTTCTTAATACTTGAATGTTTACTGCTTACTATTGCATTTGATGCCAGTACTGAGTGAAAAAATGGAAGTTAAATGGCATTCTCCTCAGGGATAACAGCAGGTTGACTAGCCAATACTGCTTATTGATACAAAAGAGTAAAGAAATCTTACATTCTCAACACGTGGTTACTGTTTCTACACACTTTCTTTACCCTTTGTGAAAAAAAAAACTTTTGTCAGTCTCCTGCTTTGTAGACAAAAAACAATAACTTTGCAGCTCATAAGAGTAAAAGACAACAAGTTGACAAACATTCATTACTTGTAGGTTAGGGCTACATCTCATTTGCATAGTTGTTTCATCTGTTATTAATTTCCTTGAACAATAGATTGCTTGTTTGGCCTATATAATTAAAAAAAAAAAAAAAAAACTCAACAAAAGCCCAAGAGGACTTTTTGTTTCATCCACAACCCAAAAACATTTAGTTTACTGTCAAAAAGGAGGAAAGTTGCCAGAAAATGCTCTAATTTAAGAAGCTGGAATCAGAGAACTTTGAGTTTTTCTCTCTTGAAAACTACTCAGACCATCTAGTGGACGATTAGTGTTCTAGTATCGAGTGTAGTCGTAGTTGGTTTATTGATCGCTGCAGCTCTATTGTGGGTTAAACATCCATCCATCCATCCATCCATCCATCCATCCATCCATTATCTTTACACCGCTTAATCCTCACTAGGGTTGTGAGGGGCTGGAGTCTATCCCAGCTGACTTAAGGTGAAGGCAGGGGACACCCTGGACAGGTCGCCAGTCTATCACAGGGCTGTGGGTTAAACACTGATGCTAAATTCATTTTAAATAGGGATATTCTGCTGCTCTTAAAAATGTATTGTTGTGTATATTTTCATGGCATGAGCTGAGATTGGTTATTGATAGCTCACGTACCGTATCCATACCGGTGGTCGGCTGCATGCTTATAAACCGTTCTGCAGAAATCCGTTGTGTTGCAGCTCTGCAAGCTCCAGCTGGAAGGATCCTAAAAGGCTAAAGCCAGCGGGGCAGGGCGGGGTCTATGTTGGCTTAGATACAAATAGAAAAGTGTCTTCTTTGGTTTCTAAAAGTTAGCATTAAAGCTAATTAAAACACATCCAGTAAAAAGGGAGAGTTACAATTTCTGTCGTCGCCCATTCTGAAAAACCTGCACATTATCCATCAGTCAGCAGTGCTACCGTCTTGTTCCATTGGGTTGCATCAGTGCAGTGTTTACTCAGCGTGTAAACCTGCTGCAAACCCCTCAGGTGTGTTTTTGTTGTTGATCATTTGCAGTAAGCTGCTCCACGTTTTTTGACCAGGTCCAGAGATTTCCTTGACTTCCAATATGTCAGACCGTGCAGCCTTCCCAGAAGGTTCACGTTACCTTGATAACAGTGCAGATATAAAAGTACGACTGACCCACATTCCCTGTTATCATACGGCACACCGGCATCCTTATTTTCATATCAAGCCTGCTTCACCAACGGCCATCGGATTGCTTTTCCGTGTGAGGCTTAGTGTTGACTTTAGAGGTCAGGGGGCCTGTTTTCACACGACCTTCTACTGTAGCGCAGAGAGTTGGTAATGATGTGGAAAATTGTATTTTCTTTACTCTTAAGGAGGCTTTTATGGCAAAAAGCTGCAGATAGTGGAGGGACGAAAACGCTGCCGAATACTCAGTATGAGAAAGTTAGTCATCGGTTGTGAGAGAGTGAGGTTTGTCAGTTACTTTGGTCACAGGTGTGTTACAAAACCAACGAGGTGTTCACACGACTTCAATACTTTCACTGCTTGAGTAAGTTCCTCTTGCTTGGAGGACCGTTGAAGCCAATCCAATGGACAAAACGAGTAAGTTGTAGGAGTAACTCATATAAAAAATAAAAATCATCACCACTGACAGTTGACTCTTGTTTAACCGCCATATTTGCGAGTACAATATTTGTATTAAGCTTGTGAGTGACAGAGGTGTTTGCTCAAAGTCTTTAGGACAGTGTGGTGGGATTCTTGTAAACTGGTTATGTAGTGGTTTAGTAGTTTATGAAGGGACTTTATGGACCCATCAAGTGCACTGAGCTTTCTTGTAAAGCACAAAACAAGAGTGTGCAGGGTTGTAACCAGAACATAAAATGACTGAGGTTTCCTGGTTGTTTAATTGAGAAACCACAAGGAAGGTGTAAAGTCAGTGCACTTGTCTTAAAATGAAGAGTTCATTTAGAAAACCACAGGTCCGACTAAAGGCCATGACCTTGGTGTTCTAAGGTGTTTGAATGTGTCGTGCTGCTGCAGGCTACATTGTTTAAAAAGGGCTGTACTATATTGTAAAAAATGACATTGCTTTTTTGCTTTGGATGGTTTTCATATCTGATTTTGCCCTTGGTATGCAGAATGTTGCACTGCTTATTTGATAAACCAACTGTATTGCTTCTGTGGTGGCAACACTTGCAAGACACTGCTGACAGAGTACCTGATTGCAGTTAAGAACATTTTTTCTGTTGCTAAAATATTTCAGTACAGCTGATGTTGTGTCCATTTTTGCAACCAAATCTTCTTTTTCAGTGTTTCTCTCCTGTTAGCCGCTCATTTTTCTGTGCAACATGGAGCCTACATGCAAAAAAACTGCGTGTTGTAAATTAAGTTGTGTAAAAAAAAAAAAAAACTCCAAGAATCCTTAAATTGGAGTAAATTATGTTCCTTCCAACCAGATGTTTTTGTCTCCTATCTGCTCCATTTAGGCACTACGTGCAGTTCAGCCCAGTACAACTGAAAAATCCCTGAATTTTTGTCTCGGGACTGTTGGTCATACATGAGTCACTCATGGCTTCTGAGTTGCATTGAGCAGCACAGAATTTTTTGTTTTTTACACAACCAGGTTAAAGCAAACAATATGTTTTTGGGCAAGTAAATGCAAATTAGTTATGTTGCAGAAATATCACAATTCTAACTTTGATTTAGATTATTTTCGTCTTGGATCTCCGCATCACACATGATTAGTTGAAGGACGGACAGAAAGCTGAAAATCTGACAAGTTTTTACAGTTTCTGGCACTTTTAAATATTTAAATTTTTATGAAGATTATATGTTTTTCAAACCTGCTGTCGGGTTTTGGGGTTTAAAAATCTGCTTTAATGTTTTCAGGTGTTTCATGTGGACAGACTTCTCAAGTTCATGTGTGATGGTCTCAGCAGTTGACATTATAAAGCCACAGTAAACTCATAGAATTTTATTACCTGATTTTATTTACCCAGTGTGTACAGTGTGTGACCACTGCTACAGCGGCCACATTAACCCGGAACGTCATGAAAACATGTTCAAATAAGACCTGGACGTTTTACAGACTTGAAACCATTTAAAAATGAATTCTCCTTCACTTATTCAAACAGGCAGACACACATGTGTGTAAAAACAATCTCATCAAATTTCATTTGTATTTTAAAAAGAAGGCTTACTCAGTAAAATATATGTGTGGGTGTGACGTGCATGCATAGAGCTCACATGCAGACGTACATAGTTGTCTGCTCCCTGACAGCGTGATTTATTTCAGCTGTATCGAGTTACTGCCTGACCCCAGTTGCACCAGTGTGAAGGATCTCTTCCCATGGATACTCTCCCAGCAGCAGACTCTCTTTGTGTGCTAAGCCTCTTTCACACTGCGAGGTTTATTGGGAAAGCGGCTGGGCTGGCAGCCCCTCAGCTTCCATGTGAGTCAACCAGGGTCACTATGCAATGACCCGCTGATGAGGTGATGGTGAAAAATGACTCGTTCCAGAATAGGAATTTAGCAATTTTACATAGACTAGACTAGACATGGTGGCTGGCGACCCCGATGCCGGTGGTCTGCCGGGTTCAGGTTCAGTTTTTTTGTAGCTGCGACAACATTTTTTGGGGGAATTTTATTCTAAAATTATTACCTCGGGTCAACCCTGAAGAAAGGAGACTAAAATAAATGTATTTTATTTAGCTGTAAAGGGAATAAGAAGGAATTTGATGGACGGAAAAAGTGCTTGGTTCCATGTTTATCCCATGCTTTCTTTCTGGCTACCTCAGTGCAGCTCTCAAATATTGGCAAAATGCCTAAAATAATCTATAAGAGCAGTCTGTTACAAGGAAATTAACCTCAAGACAGACTGAACGCAACAAAGTCAAACAGGGTGGAAGTAAGGAAGAGGAAGAAGAGGAAGCTTCAACACAATGTGTACGTCTTGCTGATGTGAATGTCATTAGCATGAAGTCATGAATCAACAATATGTCCCAGCAATTAAACTTCCTTCCTTTGCTTGTGTTTGTGCCAACTGGGAATCTGCTCATTGGTAGCCACTGGGTGTTCTGGTTAATGTCAAACTGAGTGGATTTTAATATTGTTTTGATGGTTCACTTACAGCAGAGTTGGACTGAAGGCTCAGCTGGTTGAACTTTTTTTTTTTGGCCACTACTGAGGCAAACCCTTTTAGAACATGCAGGGCTTGTGCACCACCGCTGGAGGATTGAACGGGTAGCCCCTCGCTGTGCCCGCTGTTGTCCACTTCTATGTATGTGAACGTCTCCACATCAAAGCGGCGGCTTTAATGTGTATTTGTGTATTCACCTGCTCCACGTGTTTTCGTATAGGGAGTGGTGTGAGAGTGGCGGTGCTAAGTGCTGAGATGAGAGGGTTTTCTGTTCCTGTTTTCCACGTATTTTACGTGGCATGCTGGGAGGGTTACCATATTGATTGTTCAAAGCATGAAAGAGCGACATAGAGAGACCATGCTCTCCCTTCCTCAATCTAAGGTGACAGCTTTATTGTCCTTGGCTACTCAGCTAAACTTTTGTCTCTGAACAAGTAAAGAGGACCCCAAAGGTGGAGGGGGCCTTGTACTCTCTTGAAATAATGGTTTTCAGCTCTTCCTGGCTTATTTCGCACCAAAGTATTGCTGTTAACTTGAACGCAAATCTGACACAATTAGGCCAGAGCCAGATTTTTCTTCTTGAGGTGCTGTTTAAAGAAATACTAATCCTCTGGCCTCCTCCCATCCTCCCTCTCTTTCTCCCTCTGTGTTTTTTTAATATTTCAAAAGATTCCTGCTGCGAACCAGGACATCTCCGTCTAGAGGCGATGGCATTTGCAGTGAGAATTTTTCTGTCGGACTGGGTGATAAAACGGGTTAGTTGCCTGCGCTGCACTTCCAGGGCCTCATGAGGCTCGGTCCTGAGGAATGTGGCTCAGATCATTAAAGTCGGAGCGCAGCGCAAACAGTTGGGCATCCAGCTCTCCGCATCACATGGTCTGTCAGCGGCTCTCCCCGAGTGCCCGTTGTCATTGGCAACCGCGGACAATGGAGGCGGTGGAAGGGTCTCCCCTCATACCATTCATGTGTGCAGCCAGTGCTCTTGTCCGACGCTCCCCTCCACGGCCCCCCTCCCAAGGATGTTTTTGTTCTCCGGCTTGTTTTTCCAAAGGAACACATTGTGGAAACTTCAAATCCAGAACATGTGTTTGCTGTAGCGATATATTGCACTTTCACGAGGAAATGCATCATAAGCCAAAGAAAAACACCTCAATGATCAAGCAGTGATGTGTTCTATTGCAGTTTATTACATGTGCAAGCCGAGTTTATTCATTGATTTTTGCTTTTCGCAACTGTGTCGGTGCGGCTGAATGAATCCCGTTGACCTCTAAACGGAGATGTGCTCTTTGTGTCTCAACAGGAGATTGTTTTGGTGGAAGGCAGCCGTGTGTTTGAGTCATGGAAGACCCCTCCCCCTCCCGTCTACATGGAGTATTTCTTCTTCAATGTGACCAATGTGAAGGAGATCCTGGAAGGAGGCAAGCCAGTGGTCACACAGATTGGACCCTACACATACCGGTAGGACATCCACAGAGAAAGCCACACTATGCAACTTGCACAAATGTCCACCACTGGATATTATTGCATTTTGTTCATATTTGCTCTGTGCTGAATGTAAAAGCAATAAAAAGTCTTTCAAAACATACAACATAGAAGACGCTGGCTTGTCAAGCTTTTGTTCTGGTGTGTTCCTAATTTAGACCGCACGTCTAAATTCTATCTTTTAAAAAAAACTGTGTTGCTGTTTGTATTTACTGAGTTTATTGGCTTTGTGGGCGATAGATCACAGCTACATGCAACAACCCCCAAATAGGTTTTGTTGAGTAGAAAAACATTTTACGCAACTGTGCTTTTCTTAACCCTCTAAAACCTGGGCGTTTCATGCTCCTCACATTTTTACTCACTGTGGCCTCATTTTTTTACTGCAATATGAAGTCCTGCACCTCAATGGAAACAGCATAGCCATGGATAGAAACACAAAGAACTCCAAAATGTCTTCTGTGCAGTATTGCACAGTTATTAATGATAACGAAATGCTTCGTGTTTGTGCTTAGAAGTGCAAAATTCTTCATTTTTAATAGAATCTAGTTGTAGCAAGCAGTTTATTTTGGGAAAATTTTGAACTGAGACATATAGAATGAACTGACTTTGATTAAATATCATGACTTGACTACGTTTAGATTTGGATCATTTTACCCGTCACACATGAGCAGCTAAAAGACAATTGGGAAATTTAAAAACTCATGATTGTTTCTACAGTTTCTAAATCTGTTAAATGGTGTATTTTTGGTGATTTGGTAAAGAGATAAGGTACTTTTTTAAAAAATCCATTGGCAGGTTTTGGGTTTTAGAGGGTTAAACAGCTGTGTTACTGTTCGTATTTATTGAGTTTACTGGCTTTGTCGGTTTAAGTACTTTCCGCATGTCTCCAAATCTGGACCACACCGGCAGAGCAAAAACCCCCAATTAGGTTTTGCTTAGTAGAAAAACTTTGTACAAAATTCTTCCAAGACTTCTTCCTACAACGCTGCTAAAAATGTTGCTGAAATTACTGTTACTTGCTTCGACTTGAATACATTTAATTTGCTTTATCTTTATGTTAAAGCTTATAAATGTTGAAGTGGACTGTCAGTGCCCATGGTTAATATTATTAGCTCTAGAAATCGGCCAGCATGTCCTGTCCACTCTGTCACATGTGTCCTGCCAAGAAACTTTTTTTGTGTGCAGATTAGTCGCTTTGAATCACTTCGAAATGCACCCACTGAAAGCCTTAAATAAATATCAAGGTTCACTGCTAACAGCACCAAAAATGTTACAACAGCATGTTGCGATAATCTGCCCCTGCAATCCAGCCTCTGTTTAACTGTTAGTGTGACATTGCCTCAGACGGTTGAATGCCCGTGTTAAGTTGTGTATTGGATGCATTTTTAATGGGAACGATTCTAGAAACCTTCAATAAAAATGATCACCTTTCATCTCACTGTGTTTGCACAGGGAGTACAGGTACAAGGAGAACGTGAGCATGGTGGACAACAACACCATGGTGTCGGCGTACAACACCAAAAGCTTTGTGTTCATGAGGGACAGGTCTGTGGGCGACCCCTCAGAGGACAACATCACCACTGTCAACATCCCTGCTTGGGTGAGTCATGAACTGAAGGTCTCAGACAAGTGGAGGAAAGTGGAGCGTGTGTTCTGTAACTCCGATGATTTCCTTCTGCACTTTGTTTATTGTTTCCTCACTCCCTTCTCCACATCCACCGTCACCCTCCACCTAATTGTGCACTATTTTCCATGGTTTCCTGACTGTGCTCCTCTTCCTGTCTCCAGGCCGTAATGAACAAGGTGAAAGGGAGTTTCTGGAAGTCCTCCATGGTGTCCATCTGGATGAGCAGCATCGGGAGCGGCCTCTTCACCACTCGCACTGTGGACGAGCTGCTGTGGGGCTATGAAGACCCCCTGCTGGCTCGCGTTGCTTCCACCAGTCCTGAAGTAGAGAAGATATTTGGCCTCATGTACAAGGCATGTACACCTTCAACCAATAATAGCGGGTATAAGCATTGGAAATGATGATTGTATTGTTGTTGAATCCCATGTTTTAATGTCTTGAATTCTTGTTTGTTTCAGAAAAATGGGAGTAACGACGGGGAGTTTTTGTACCGCACTGGACAACAGGACCACATGGATTACGGTCGTGTTGTAACGTGGAAAGGCCAAAGGTAGCGCCGATGCACACACTCCCTCTCTGTCTACAGCCAAGATGATGAAACCTCGTTGGGTAACACTTGGGTTCATAAAGCTTCTCAAAACTGCCGCTTGTTGCCAATATTAAGAGGGGAACTGGCCAACTTTGACTCCGTTTGCATGCTGATCTTGGCTCTTGCCCTTTGCACAAAGCACAAGGCAGGACATCCTGAAACGTGGAATGTCTTAATAATGGTGTTTTGCTGACCGTTCTTATCCAATTTTATTGTCTTTGGTTCCCTGTAATCTGTAATTGCCACTCTACTCCTGGGAAAATGCCCTTTTAAACTTCAGAAACATTTTTGATCATCAAAACATGGCATTGTAATTTGATTGCAATTAAGATGGAAATGATAAAAGTTGTTGAGATTACAAGTAGGAATTTTGAAAACAACATCCATCCATTATCTATACACCACTTAATCCTCATTAGGGTTGCAAGGGGGCTGGAGCCTATCCCGGGTGACTCAGGGTGAAGGCAGGGGACACCCTGGACAGGTCACCAGTCCATCACAGGGCCACACTTAGACACAGACAACCAAGCACACTCACATTCACACCTACAATTTAGAATCACCAATTAACCTCAACATGTTTTTGGACCTCGTGGGAGGAAGCTGGAGAACATGCAAACTCCACGCAGAAAGATCCCCGTGCCCCAACCGGGAAGCGAACCGGCGACCTTCCTGCTGCGAGGCAACAGTGCTAACCAACAGCTCCACCCTGCAGCCCTTGAAAACAACATAGTTTAGTTCTTGTTTTTGTTTGTATGTAATGAATCTAGGTATAAGCGTGTTCATTCCAAAAGCCATTTTTCGTTGCTCTGCTGGTGGCATAATCATATAAAAGCATTTAGTTGGAGTCCAAAGAAATAGTTCCTGAATGAGCATAATGCATTTTAAAACCTGATATGTCAGGTTTTCACTTACTGTCAACTCATTTTTTACTGCAGTATAAAGTCCTGCACTTCTACGCAAACAGCACAACCATGACTAGAAGCAGAGTAGATGTCGCCATGATTGATAAAAAAAANCGGATTGCTTTTCCGTGTGAGGCTTAGTGTTGACTTTAGAGGTCAGGGGGCCTGTTTTCACACGACCTTCTACTGTAGCGCAGAGAGTTGGTAATGATGTGGAAAATTGTATTTTCTTTACTCTTAAGGAGGCTTTTATGGCAAAAAGCTGCAGATAGTGGAGGGAAGAAAAGGCTGCCGACTACTCAGTATGAGAAAGTTAGTCATCGGTTGTGAGAGAGTGAGGTTTGTCAGTTACTTTGGTCACAGGTGTGTTACAAAACCAACAAAGTCTTCACACGACTTCAACACTTTCACTGCTTGAGTAAGTTCCTCTTGCTTGGAGGACCGTTGAAGCCAATCCAATGGACAAAACGAGTAAGTTGTAGGAGTAACTCATATAAAAAATAAAAATCATCACCACTGACAGTTGACTCTTGTTTAACCGCCATATTTGCGAGTACAATATTTGTATTAAGCTTGTGAGTGACAGAGGTGTTTGCTCAAAGTCTTTAGGACAGTGTGGTGGGATTCTTGTAAACTGGTTATGTAGTGGTTTAGTAGTTTATGAAGGACCTTTATGGACTCATCAAGGGCACTGGGCTTTCTTGTAAAGCACAAAACAAGAGTGTGCAGGGTTGTAACCAGAACATAAAATGACTGAGGTTTCCTGGTTGTTTAATTGAGAAACCACAAGGAAGGTGTAAAGTCAGTGCACTTGTCTTAAAATGAAGAGTTCATTTAGAAAACCACAGGTCCGACTAAAGGCCATGACCTTGGTGTTCTAAGGTGTTTGAATGTGTCGTGCTGCTGCAGGCTACATTGTTTAAAAAGGGCTGTACTATATTGTAAAAAATGACATTGCTTTTTTGCTTTGGATGGTTTTCATATCTGATTTTGTACTCGGTATACAGAATGTTGCACTGCTTATTTGATAAACCAACTGTATTGCTTCTGTGGTGGCAACACTTGCAAGACACTGCTGACAGAGTACCTGATTGCAGTTAAGAACATTTTTTCTGTTGCTAAAATATTTCAGTACAGCTGATGTTGTGTCCATTTTTGCAACCAAATCTTCTTTTTCAGTGTTTCTCTCCTGTTAGCCGCTCATTTTTCTGTGCAACATGGAGCCTACATGCAAAAAAACTGCGTGTTGTAAATTAAGTTGTGTAAAAAAAAAAAAAAACTCCAAGAATCCTTAAATTGGAGTAAATTATGTTCCTTCCAACCAGATGTTTTTGTCTCCTATCTGCTCCATTTAGGCACTACGTGCAGTTCAGCCCAGTACAACTGAAAAATCCCTGAATTTTTGTCTCGGGACTGTTGGTCATACATGAGTCACTCATGGCTTCTGAGTTGCATTGAGCAGCACAGAATTTTTTGTTTTTTACACAACCAGGTTAAAGCAAACAATATGTTTTTGGGCAAGTAAATGCAAATTAGTTATGTTGCAGAAATATCACAATTCTAACTTTGATTTAGATTATTTTCGTCTTGGATCTCCGCATCACACATGATTAGTTGAAGGACGGACAGAAAGCTGAAAATCTGACAAGTTTTTACAGTTTCTGGCACTTTTAAATATTTAAATTTTTATGAAGATTATATGTTTTTCAAACCTGCTGTCGAGTCTTGGGGTTTAAAAATCTGCTTTAATGTTTTCAGGTGTTTCATGTGGACAGACTTCTCAAGTTCATGTGTGATGGTCTCAGCAGTTGACATTATAAAGCCACAGTAAACTCATAGAATTTTATTACCTGATTTTATTTACCCAGTGTGTACAGTGTGTGACCACTGCTACAGCGGCCACATTGACCCGAAACGTCATGAAATCGTGTTCAAATAAGACCTGGACGTTTTACAGACTTGAAACCATTTAAAAATGAATTCTCCTTCACTTATTCAAACAGGCAGACACACATGTGTGTAAAAACAATCTCATCAAATTTCATTTGTATTTTAAAAAGAAGGCTTACTCAGTAAAATATATGTGTGGGTGTGACGTGCATGCATAGAGCTCACATGCAGACGTACATAGTTGTCTGCTCCCTGACAGCGTGATTTATTTCAGCTGTATCGAGTTACTGCCTGACCCCAGTTGCACCAGTGTGAAGGATCTCTTCCCATGGATACTCTCCCAGCAGCAGACTCTCTTTGTGTGCTAAGCCTCTTTCACACTGCGAGGTTTATTGGGAAAGCGGCTGGGCTGGCAGCCCCTCAGCTTCCATGTGAGTCAACCAGGGTCACTATGCAATGACCCGCTGATGAGGTGATGGTGAAAAATGACTCGTTCCAGAATAGGAATTTAGCAATTTTACATAGACTAGACTAGACATGGTGGCTGGCGACCCCGATGCCGGTGGTCTGCCGGGTTCAGGTTCAGTTTTTTTGTAGCTGCGACAACATTTTTTGGGGGAATTTTATTCTAAAATTATTACCTCGGGTCAACCCTGAAGAAAGGAGACTAAAATAAATGTATTTTATTTAGCTGTAAAGGGAATAAGAAGGAATTTGATGGACGGAAAAAGTGCTTGGTTCCATGTTTATCCCATGCTTTCTTTCTGGCTACCTCAGTGCAGCTCTCAAATATTGGCAAAATGCCTAAAATAATCTATAAGAGCAGTCTGTTACAAGGAAATTAACCTCAAGACAGACTGAACGCAACAAAGTCAAACAGGGTGGAAGTAAGGAAGAGGAAGAAGAGGAAGCTTCAACACAATGTGTACGTCTTGCTGATGTGAATGTCATTAGCATGAAGTCATGAATCAACAATATGTCCCAGCAATTAAACTTCCTTCCTTTGCTTGTGTTTGTGCCAACTGGGAATCTGCTCATTGGTAGCCACTGGGTGTTCTGGTTAATGTCAAACTGAGTGGATTTTAATATTGTTTTGATGGTTCACTTACAGCAGAGTTGGACTGAAGGCTCAGCTGGTTGAACTTTTTTTTTTTGGCCACTACTGAGGCAAACCCTTTTAGAACATGCAGGGCTTGTGCACCACCGCTGGAGGATTGAACGGGTAGCCCCTCGCTGTGCCCGCTGTTGTCCACTTCTATGTATGTGAACGTCTCCACATCAAAGCGGCGGCTTTAATGTGTATTTGTGTATTCACCTGCTCCACGTGTTTTCGTATAGGGAGTGGTGTGAGAGTGGCGGTGCTAAGTGCTGAGATGAGAGGGTTTTCTGTTCCTGTTTTCCACGTATTTTACGTGGCATGCTGGGAGGGTTACCATATTGATTGTTCAAAGCATGAAAGAGCGACATAGAGAGACCATGCTCTCCCTTCCTCAATCTAAGGTGACAGCTTTATTGTCCTTGGCTACTCAGCTAAACTTTTGTCTCTGAACAAGTAAAGAGGACCCCAAAGGTGGAGGGGGCCTTGTACTCTCTTGAAATAATGGTTTTCAGCTCTTCCTGGCTTATTTCGCACCAAAGTATTGCTGTTAACTTGAACGCAAATCTGACACAATTAGGCCAGAGCCAGATTTTTCTTCTTGAGGTGCTGTTTAAAGAAATACTAATCCTCTGGCCTCCTCCCATCCTCCCTCTCTTTCTCCCTCTGTGTTTTTTTAATATTTCAAAAGATTCCTGCTGCGAACCAGGACATCTCCGTCTAGAGGCGATGGCATTTGCAGTGAGAATTTTTCTGTCGGACTGGGTGATAAAACGGGTTAGTTGCCTGCGCTGCACTTCCAGGGCCTCATGAGGCTCGGTCCTGAGGAATGTGGCTCAGATCATTAAAGTCGGAGCGCAGCGCAAACAGTTGGGCATCCAGCTCTCCGCATCACATGGTCTGTCAGCGGCTCTCCCCGAGTGCCCGTTGTCATTGGCAACCGCGGACAATGGAGGCGGTGGAAGGGTCTCCCCTCATACCATTCATGTGTGCAGCCAGTGCTCTTGTCCGACGCTCCCCTCCACGGCCCCCCTCCCAAGGATGTTTTTGTTCTCCGGCTTGTTTTTCCAAAGGAACACATTGTGGAAACTTCAAATCCAGAACATGTGTTTGCTGTAGCGATATATTGCACTTTCACGAGGAAATGCATCATAAGCCAAAGAAAAACACCTCAATGATCAAGCAGTGATGTGTTCTATTGCAGTTTATTACATGTGCAAGCCGAGTTTATTCATTGATTTTTGCTTTTCGCAACTGTGTCGGTGCGGCTGAATGAATCCCGTTGACCTCTAAACGGAGATGTGCTCTTTGTGTCTCAACAGGAGATTGTTTTGGTGGAAGGCAGCCGTGTGTTTGAGTCATGGAAGACCCCTCCCCCTCCCGTCTACATGGAGTATTTCTTCTTCAATGTGACCAATGTGAAGGAGATCCTGGAAGGAGGCAAGCCAGTGGTCACACAGATTGGACCCTACACATACCGGTAGGACATCCACAGAGAAAGCCACACTATGCAACTTGCACAAATGTCCACCACTGGATATTATTGCATTTTGTTCATATTTGCTCTGTGCTGAATGTAAAAGCAATAAAAAGTCTTTCAAAACATACAACATAGAAGACGCTGGCTTGTCAAGCTTTTGTTCTGGTGTGTTCCTAATTTAGACCGCACGTCTAAATTCTATCTTTTAAAAAAAACTGTGTTGCTGTTTGTATTTACTGAGTTTATTGGCTTTGTGGGCGATAGATCACAGCTACATGCAACAACCCCCAAATAGGTTTTGTTGAGTAGAAAAACATTTTACGCAACTGTGCTTTTCTTAACCCTCTAAAACCTGGGCGTTTCATGCTCCTCACATTTTTACTCACTGTGGCCTCATTTTTTTACTGCAATATGAAGTCCTGCACCTCAATGGAAACAGCATAGCCATGGATAGAAACACAAAGAACTCCAAAATGTCTTCTGTGCAGTATTGCACAGTTATTAATGATAACGAAATGCTTCGTGTTTGTGCTTAGAAGTGCAAAATTCTTCATTTTTAATAGAATCTAGTTGTAGCAAGCAGTTTATTTTGGGAAAATTTTGAACTGAGACATATAGAATGAACTGACTTTGATTAAATATCATGACTTGACTACGTTTAGATTTGGATCATTTTACCCGTCACACATGAGCAGCTAAAAGACAATTGGGAAATTTAAAAACTCATGATTGTTTCTACAGTTTCTAAATCTGTTAAATGGTGTATTTTTGGTGATTTGGTAAAGAGATAAGGTACTTTTTTAAAAAATCCATTGGCAGGTTTTGGGTTTTAGAGGGTTAAACAGCTGTGTTACTGTTCGTATTTATTGAGTTTACTGGCTTTGTCGGTTTAAGTACTTTCCGCATGTCTCCAAATCTGGACCACACCGGCAGAGCAAAAACCCCCAATTAGGTTTTGCTTAGTAGAAAAACTTTGTACAAAATTCTTCCAAGACTTCTTCCTACAACGCTGCTAAAAATGTTGCTGAAATTACTGTTACTTGCTTCGACTTGAATACATTTAATTTGCTTTATCTTTATGTTAAAGCTTATAAATGTTGAAGTGGACTGTCAGTGCCCATGGTTAATATTATTAGCTCTAGAAATCGGCCAGCATGTCCTGTCCACTCTGTCACATGTGTCCTGCCAAGAAACTTTTTTTGTGTGCAGATTAGTCGCTTTGAATCACTTCGAAATGCACCCACTGAAAGCCTTAAATAAATATCAAGGTTCACTGCTAACAGCACCAAAAATGTTACAACAGCATGTTGCGATAATCTGCCCCTGCAATCCAGCCTCTGTTTAACTGTTAGTGTGACATTGCCTCAGACGGTTGAATGCCCGTGTTAAGTTGTGTATTGGATGCATTTTTAATGGGAACGATTCTAGAAACCTTCAATAAAAATGATCACCTTTCATCTCACTGTGTTTGCACAGGGAGTACAGGTACAAGGAGAACGTGAGCATGGTGGACAACAACACCATGGTGTCGGCGTACAACACCAAAAGCTTTGTGTTCATGAGGGACAGGTCTGTGGGCGACCCCTCAGAGGACAACATCACCACTGTCAACATCCCTGCTTGGGTGAGTCATGAACTGAAGGTCTCAGACAAGTGGAGGAAAGTGGAGCGTGTGTTCTGTAACTCCGATGATTTCCTTCTGCACTTTGTTTATTGTTTCCTCACTCCCTTCTCCACATCCACCGTCACCCTCCACCTAATTGTGCACTATTTTCCATGGTTTCCTGACTGTGCTCCTCTTCCTGTCTCCAGGCCGTAATGAACAAGGTGAAAGGGAGTTTCTGGAAGTCCTCCATGGTGTCCATCTGGATGAGCAGCATCGGGAGCGGCCTCTTCACCACTCGCACTGTGGACGAGCTGCTGTGGGGCTATGAAGACCCCCTGCTGGCTCGCGTTGCTTCCACCAGTCCTGAAGTAGAGAAGATATTTGGCCTCATGTACAAGGCATGTACACCTTCAACCAATAATAGCGGGTATAAGCATTGGAAATGATGATTGTATTGTTGTTGAATCCCATGTTTTAATGTCTTGAATTCTTGTTTGTTTCAGAAAAATGGGAGTAACGACGGGGAGTTTTTGTACCGCACTGGACAACAGGACCACATGGATTACGGTCGTGTTGTAACGTGGAAAGGCCAAAGGTAGCGCCGATGCACACACTCCCTCTCTGTCTACAGCCAAGATGATGAAACCTCGTTGGGTAACACTTGGGTTCATAAAGCTTCTCAAAACCGCCGCTTGTTGCCAATATTAAGAGGGGAACTGGCCAACTTTGACTCCGTTTGCATGCTGATCTTGGCTCTTGCCCTTTGCACAAAGCACAAGGCAGGACATCCTGAAACGTGGAATGTCTTAATAATGGTGTTTTGCTGACCGTTCTTATCCAATTTTATTGTCTTTGGTTCCCTGTAATCTGTAATTGCCACTCTACTCCTGGGAAAATGCCCTTTTAAACTTCAGAAACATTTTTGATCATCAAAACATGGCATTGTAATTTGATTGCAATTAAGATGGAAATGATAAAAGTTGTTGAGATTACAAGTAGGAATTTTGAAAACAACATCCATCCATTATCTATACACCACTTAATCCTCATTAGGGTTGCAAGGGGGCTGGAGCCTATCCCGGGTGACTCAGGGTGAAGGCAGGGGACACCCTGGACAGGTCACCAGTCCATCACAGGGCCACACTTAGACACAGACAACCAAGCACACTCACATTCACACCTACAATTTAGAATCACCAATTAACCTCAACATGTTTTTGGACCTCGTGGGAGGAAGCTGGAGAACATGCAAACTCCACGCAGAAAGATCCCCGTGCCCCAACCGGGAAGCGAACCGGCGACCTTCCTGCTGCTAACCAACTGCTCCACCTTGCAGCCCTTGAAAACAACATAGTTTAGTTCTTGTTTTTGTTTGTATGTAATGAATCTAGGTATAAGCGTGTTCATTCCAAAAGCCATTTTTCGTTGCTCTGCTGGTGGCATAATCATATAAAAGCATTTAGTTGGAGTCCAAAGAAATAGTTCCTGAATGAGCATAATGCATTTTAAAACCTGATATGTCAGGTTTTCACTTACTGTCAACTCATTTTTTACTGCAGTATAAAGTCCTGCACTTCTACGCAAACAGCACAACCATGACTAGAAGCAGAGTAGATGTCGCCATGATTGATAAAAAAAATTGTTTTAAAATAAAGTCAAATTTCTTTGATTATGAAAGTTGAACACAAAAGTAGAAAAAATCCTGGATTCAGCAAGTATAGCATGTTTTTTTTTCAAGTGCTCACAGGTGTTTCCAATACTGGGGGAAAAAGGAAGCTCTACATGCTATAGATAATTCACTACAGAAATGTTTGATTTGCTCCCATACAGTTTTCCTGTCTGGTCTGTGGAAACAGCCTGCACTTCAGCCAAATAGTCCTGGGATTTTTGTTTTTACTGGTTAGGGATAAGAGTCTATTCTTGACTAAATGTGCTGAATATGTCACCAACTGAAGCTAAGATAATATAAAATGGTGTGTTTTGGCAGGCTTGTTGGTTCAGAAAGTTAAACGCTCATGTTTTTGTCCTCGTGTTGTTTTGCAGCCAGCTGACTTTCTGGACCACCAACCAAAGCAACAGCATCAATGGGTCAGACGGAAGTGCTTTCCATCCTCTGCTGGATAAGAACGAACGCATTTACATCTTCACCCCAGACCTGTGCAGGTACAGTAACAAATGAACTTCTAGATATGAAGTGAAAACAAGGAAATATATTCAATTTTTTTTTTTAAATTCAGTCTTTGTTCAGGTAGAAAATGATTGATCGTTACTAAATGACAGTAGAGCATTCAAAAACAGATGTTGATTTGCGAATCATCTTTTGGTAGATTCCATTTTTAACCACATCTGGGGAAAAATAAACAAATATTGAGGCTCGGAAGGAATCTCAAAAATGGGGCCAGACGTCACAAATTCATCACAAAGTCTCTAGAGTGCAAGTTTAGGATTTCTCATGGTATTATAGAAACTGATTTTTTTTCAAGAACATCCATGACACGAACCAAGAGGGAGAGGTGGGGAGGCCTGAAATGGTCAGAGGATGAATCCCCACAACTCTGGTGATCTTGTGACTTATCGTTATGTGAAATACTTTTGGTTTATACTTGCAACACTAATGACATTCCTGTCAGCCTCAGCTATGCTTCGTTTTAGCAAATGTCAGCATTTAGCTCAAATTACTGCTGTGAATGAAGGTTGAATCTCTGAAAACTCGCTGCAGTCGTCAGACAAGTCAACACCAAATCCGGCATCAGAAAGGTCGGAGGGCAGCGTTTTCCTGAGCCTCAGAGAGCCGCGACCTCGTTTGTAGGCACTTGGTCTTGTTGTCAGTTGACTCTCTGAACCCTGAGCGGTTTTTGGGTTGTTTTTCTTTTTTGTCACATCTTTACCTATTGTTGGCTCATTTTTCACTGCAATATAAAGTCCTTTATCTCCAGGGAAGCAGGACAACCAGAAGTGGAGAGAACTCTGACACCATTATAATGCCATTAATCATAAAAGAAAAAAAAAAAAAGCAAACATTATTTATTTTACAAAAATGGAAAAACTTTTTTTTTGAAGTGGCCACAGATGTTAACAGTACTAGAAAAAGTGATGGCTCTACATACGATAAATATTTTACTACTTACATTTTTAAATCGTAATAATATGTGTCTTCTATTTGCTGTGTAACCAAAGACTGCAGTTCAGTCTAGTTTAGCCAAAAAGTCCCTACATTTTTTGACACGTGACTCTTGATCACAGCTGAGCAAGTGATGGCTTTTAAGTTGCGCTAAGAAATGTAGAATTTTTCGTTTTTTTCCAAACCTGTTTAGTGCTAACGATTAGGTTTATGTAGATTTTTAAGTGGATGTAGAATAAAGCGATTTGGATTAAATTGTACGATTTTTAGCTCAGGTTTGGTCACATTTTTGACAAAGCAACACATGACAGATAATTAGGTCAGAGGATCATCTAAAAGGAGACAATCTGACGAATCTTTTTCTCTTTTAACTTTTTTTTTTTCTTAGATAAATGTCATTTTGCCGATTTTTTAAAAAAAAGACGACGTACTTTTCAAACCCACCAGTATGTTTTGGGGTTCGAAGGGTTAAATAGTCATCTGACTCGAGTACCAGGAGTTATAACATGTGCCTCCACAGACAAACAATCTGGTTGCAACAGGGATTTGCATCCTCGCAACCTATTGTTGTTTAATGTCCCATGTCTTAATTTACCTGAGCACGGTGTGGTTATAAAGTGATGTTTATTTTTGGTACATGACCCAGCAGACTGGGGCGGCGGCTTTCATATCTGGTATGGAAATAATGTTCACAGGCTTCGGATCCCATGGATTGTTATCATAACATCCTGCCTGATCACTTACAAACAGCACTATAGGTGACCTCTGTTTGCTGCTGAATATCCTTCCTACGCTGTGAGGCCACTTTAAAGGCTAGAAAACACGACAGCTTGAAGGGGATTGTTGCTCTGGAGTGTGATGATGACATGAGAGGAAGGGAATCACAATGAAAAAAAAGAAGGGAGAATTTATGGCTTTTAACAAGAATCAATCTGTTCTTACTGGAACTGACTGCCTCTCTCATGCTCATGGGGTCCTTGAATTAAAGGAGGATCCCGCAGGATGTCTTTACTGTAACATGAATGTTGAAAACTGCTGACACGCTATGAGTAACCACTTGAGGTTTGATTGTACAAATTTTAAGCCTTGTTTGTTGCAAAATGTACAAGCGGTGTCCTAATCCATGATGGTGACAAGAGATTCTAATTTAGAAAACAACCTTGACCTAAAAAACAGAAGGTGCCGGTCACATCTTTGCCTTTTTGCTGAGCGTGGAAAGAATCTGTTGGAGCGGGACGTTCTCACCTTTGACTCTGATTGGACGTGCGTCAAAAAGCCCTCTCCCAAATATTTACCAAACACTTTCACCTACTTATTCATTGCCGGGCGGTGCGGTCGCAGCCGTCTGTGTTACTGTGACTAAAGGGAAGACTCCCTCCCTGTTTCCTGTACTTTTTACACTAATTTGAAGAGGAAATGTTCCATCAAGTGTATGTTGACCTTTCACACACGCAGCATTAAGCCCCTGTAGGGTTAGCTCAACACCACTTTGGTTCAAAACATTTAGTCAGATCTGGGACTGATCTGCTGGTTAAAAAACAAGGGCTAGAATTCCCATCTGTGAGCTGACGGAGTCGTGAGTGACAGCTGAGCCACAAAAGCCTCAAGATCTTGATGAATTACAGACAGCTGTCATTGTTTGAATACCAGCTCTCCTTTTGCCACATGTTAATCTTCCCTTAGGTCACAATTATAATGTTAAACGTTCGAATATTATTCAAAACAAATCAAAAGAAAGTCATATTTATTAAAACAAATCGTACAGTTTTACCTCCCCTCCTCATATGTTCTGTTTTCTGGGGTATTTTCAGTTCATTATGGATCTTTTTTTTATTGCAATATAAGGTCCTGCACCAATGCAGGAACAGCACAGCCATGGCTAGAAGCTGAGAAAACTCCAAAATGTGTTTTCTGCATTGTGCAACAGTTATATGCTACGGATCATAAAAAAGACAAAAATGAATTTCGTTGATTATTACAATGATTGAAACAACCTGGAATCAAAACGTACAGCATTTTTAAAGTGCCCACAGGTGTCACTAATACTGGAAAATACTGGTATTTTGGCGCTACATACTGAAGATAGTCAACTATCGCTTTCTTTTTTCTGCTCTATGTAATCACAGCCTGCAGCTCCTGCAAGTCAGTCATTCAGTCTCAATAATGGCTTCACATTTGCACTGAGTGCAGAACTTTTTTTTTTTTTTAACAGAATCTAGTTGCTATATATAATTTTTTTGTGTAGGATATGTAGAGTCATATCACAATTTTAAACTTAGATTTGGTTACTTTGGTTATAATTACTTCGAGGATTGTAGTCCAACTTTTTTTTTTTTGCAGTTTCTGGCTCTTTTTTTTTTTTTTTTTAAATCATATCGGCGTTTTTGTTCTGTTTTTTTTCTTCAGGGATTCAAGGATTCAAGGCCTTCATTGATCACTAACATAATTATACATAGTATAACGTGCAGTGAAAAATATTATGCACCTGTCCCACACCAAAACAAGAAGAAAGAATAAAACACACAGAAATAAATATATACATGAATAAATAATTGATAGAAATAAGCAAAATAAATAAATCGAAGCATCAAATAGTGAAAAAAAAAACCCAAAACAGACACACAAGATTTTTGCGGGTTAGAGGGTTAATAGAGTTTTAAATAAAAACGAATCTCACTTGGACTTGGGTTGAAAAGAAGCACGTTTTTGCTTCGCTCATTGGAAATGAATCCATATTGGAACAGTGTCTCACTCCCAGCGGTACAAGGCAGAGACTCTCTGTCCTGTTCTCGTGTAGAAACACATCAGGCTTTTTACTTGGCTTCTCTCGCAAAGGTCAAGGGAAAGGTCTATACAGTATTGTTGCACAATTGGTGGGCCGCTCAGCAAAGAGCTGCATCCTCCCCGCCAGTTGGCACACACTGTATAGAGCGCTTTGTTCTCGCTGAGAATCGTCGGGATTCCCTCGACAGGACAGAGCTGCAGATACTGAGAACAAGGATGGACTCCCTAACAATAATGCAATTCTCTCGGAGGCTGTAAAAACACAACAAACGCTGAAATATAATGACAGATTTACGATTTCACCGCTTCCACTGCAATAGGAAGGTCGACTCCGCAGAGCCGCATTACTTTCCCTCTCAAACGTGTTTAGAATTAAAGAAGCACACCCAGCAGGATTCAGCATCACTTTAAAGTCAGTGTAAATCGTCCAGATTCAAATCTGTCTTAGAACAATAGTGCGGTTCCCATAGGAGCACCCAAACAGGTTTTTCCCGCTGTAACCAATCCTCATGACCATTAATTAAGAAATCCCTTCCAAAGGTTTGTAGACCTCCCTCCTTGAAAAAATGTATTCCTAAGCTTATGTGGAGCTTAAATGAGGTTTAGGCAGCCACAGTTAATCACATTAGTGGACGTCTGTCAAAGTTAATACAAAACTACCTCTTTTTGTTACTGTTAGGGAAGAATCAGTGATGAGGCGAAACAAAAAGAGAGAATTTTAAACTAGAATGCTGTAACTTTGCAAGATATCCATTTGATTTGCTCCATGCAGCCCACTGAAGCTTCATATCAACTTCAAATAAACTTTTGACTGTGTTTTAGCATCAAATGGCCGAGGTTTCTTTGCCTCATAAGTTAGGGACGATTTTTTGGAGCCAGTAAGTACAGCTTCCACTTGTTTTTCCTTTTGTTTTTTTGTTTTTTGGCTAGTTGAAACTATTTTTCCATTGAATAGATATTAAAGCGATAAGAGAAGTGAGTTTTTGGCCCTGTTTGCTTGTGAACTGGTGTCTCGGAGGGAAAGGCCGTTAGTTTTATTTATTTTATTCTTCATTATTTCCCTGTTATGTTACGCAATAACCTATTAATGACTTCAGACTTTTGGCTTAGGCAGGCAGCACACAGATGTATTTACGCTGGCTTTCGTGTGTGTGTGTGTGCTTCACTGGAAATGATTATTCCAATAGTGTGCCAAATGCATTTGCAATATTATTACAGCAACTCCAGAGAAATCGGGTTAATATTCCCACTGCTTTAGTCTTTCTGTGTTTCTAACAGCTGCAAACAAGATGAATAACATTTGTGTTATTATTTTAACCGAAATCCATTTGGTCGGTTTATCAACATTAATCCTTAAAACATAATCAGGTTTAATTTTCAGGCTGCAGGCTTCAGTTGAAACTAACTGCACACAAGGAGCAGCGATCAATTTTTGATATTAAAATGCTGAGTAATAACATCAGAGCATAACACCAGTCTATACCTATTTTGGTGTCAAAGTTTTTTGAGCTGATTTTGAACAACTGCAACGTGCTGATTCCAAATATTACATTGGTTTTGCTCAATGAGGTCAAAATTTTGATTTGATGAAACATGCAATTTACTTGTATTTACCTTTACAAATGTTTACACTCATCAACTTGTGGATCATTTAACTTATGAAAAGGATTAGAAAATGACATTTTTCCTCTAAAATCCGATTTCATATACGAAATACTAAAATAAATCAATCGCTAATGTCAAAAAATTTAATCGATATAGTGGTAAAATCGATTTTTTGAAATTAGGTTGGCATAAAAACCTGACCTGGTGCAGAAAAGCAGATGTCATTTTTGGATTCAGCATTGCAAAAATGTCCTAAATCAGTTTTTAAAAATCCTAGACACCTTCAAAAAAGTATTTTTTTGTAACCCAGTGTAATGATTAACAGTCATGAAGTAAAGTGAAATTGTTCATTGTCATTTTTACTCACTGTAGGCACATTTTTATTGCAGTATGAAGTCCTGCACCTCTGTGGAAACACCATAGCCATGACTAGAAGTAGAGAGAACTCAAAAATATCATCTGTGCAGTATGGCACAGTTGTCTTGGTGAATGCAAGTTAATGATCATTTTACAAAAACTGAAAAAAAACATGAAATCAACACGTTTCCATCACATTTTTTCCCAGTGCTCCAAGGTGTTACCAATACTGTCATGAAATCTCCGCATACTGCACACAACTCTACATTTTATAGATATTTAACTTTATTTGTTTTACTTTACTTTGCTTCTTCTTAATTTTTCTTTGTTTCTACAACTGTCTCCTCTTTGCTCAGTGTAAACACAGCCTGCAGTTCAACTGAAAAGGTCCAGAATTTTTGTCAAGTGACTATTTGTGGCAGCTGAGTCACTAGTGGCTTTATTGTTGCACCCAGGAGTGCAGAATTTTTTATTTTTTACAGAATGTTGTTAGTGTAAGCGGATTATTTTTGGTGAATTTTTAAACGAGGCATGAAGAATAAAGTGATTTTGAGGAAATTCTGAGCTTAGGTTTGGTTCATTTTCTGACGGAGCCACACATGACGCATGAAACGTTCACAGACCGTTGAAAAGTTAAAAATTAGTTTCCTAAAAAATTTCCTAAATCTGGGAAATGTTGTCATTTTAATCATTTTTAAAAGCTTTTGAGAGTTTGCTTTTCAAAGCTGCCAGCGGGTTTTTGGATTCTTGGAGTTGATTTTGCTCGTTTTCCTCTCCAGGTCCATCCACGTGGAGTTTGAGAAAGACGTGGAGGTGAAAGGAATCCCAGCGTACCGCTTCACGCCACCGCGCTCCGTTTTTGCCAGCAAAGAGGAGAACCCGGCCAACGAGGGCTTCTGCGTCACCCCGCAGGAGTGCCTGGGAACCGGCCTTCTTAAAGTCAGCCCGTGTCGGAAAGGTAAATGTCAGCTTGTGCAGCACATTTTCTCACCCACACTTTGAACTTTTACAGACCTCTCTCAAGGTCCTGCATCCCCAAATTATAATGCCTGTGGTGAACTCAGCATTTCTCTTCTCTTTTCCTGTTTCTTTAATTAGCCATGCATCCTACACAAATTCCCGCTTTGACTTTTGGCGCGCTAGTAAACAAGCAACTTTGTCTTGAAGGGTTTTCATTTCTGTTGCTCCGTTCCTTCTGTTTTCTTCCCACCCGACTGCTACATGATAAAGCACAACACAGTGATTCTTTTATCACGCAAGTCCTCCTTTTAATTTCCTATTTACTATCCCCAGTCCTACTAATACCCCCTGAATGACCCATGTGACACAGCTCTCCAGCTCCCTCCACACCTCAGGCGCCATCTGACCATGACTGAGCCAGTATCTGAGGGGGGGGCGGTGGTAAGCCCAGTCACCTGATTCTGCCCTTGAATATGACCAGGCGTTACCTTAGTGCCTGAGTTCACAGCCCATGTGTCTCTGTCTGTTTGTCTAAGATTTTACCAGTGAAGAAAGTTTCATTCATTCGAAAATCATGTTTTAGCTTTTGGGCACATTTTAGAATAAAAACCTGAAACCTTCTTATTCATTTCAGCATCAACAACAACTGGTTTCAGGGAAGCACTGCAACAAAAATCGACACTGTTGCTGGGAAGTAGTCAATCTGAAAGGCCACACTGATTTGGAACTAGTTTGTTACAGAAGAATACAAATAATGTTGAGTCATGAAGATTAAAACAGACATTTTGGATTAGCGTTTGCAACATGATGTCCATTGTAATGAATGGAAATCAGTGTTAATGGGGTAAAACATGCATGAACATTGGTAAGATTTTATTTTTAAAAGAATGGAGCACTGTGGAGGAAAAGTAGTGTAGAGAGTTAAGTTTAGGGCCAGGTGTTAAGGAATGAACACAGCGATTAAGGGCACTCATAAGTATACCGCTGCAAATGTGTGTGTGTGTGTGTGTGTTTGCACTACAGTGACCTTGTCGGCCGTCACGTGAACGCTCTCTCAGGTGACTGCGGGTGTCCAATGTTTTTGTCAGACGTCTGTTGCTAAACACAAGAGCAGGAAAACTGTCACCTCTGCCCCACTTCATCGGCTCTTCTAACTGTGCCACCATCTGACTGTGTTGCTGCTGCCGAGACGCATGCGGTCGCTGCAAAGCTAAAAACTGGGCCAAGTTTGTGTTTTTGATAGTTTTTTTTTTGCAACACGCCCTCAATTACTTAAGTGAATGCCCAGGTGTGACCTCGCCAGAAATGTTTCGTTGTATGTTGTTTCCACCGAGGTGATATTGTAGGAACACAATGTCTCCCGTCGACAATATGAGGAAGGAACTCAGCAAGAGTAACAAGATTCTTTATCTAGATATGAGTGACTGCCATTAATTACTTAACCAAGCGGGGTTATTGTCTGTTTATTTACCTGTATTGTTTGTTTTCTTTGAAAGGTTGACCCTGAGCTATATACGTCAGATCATATCTTCTCACCTTTTCCTGAGAACTCGTTCCAAATGTTTTTACTGGATGCTATGTCCTGACCAGATCAAAGAGGAGGAAATATAACAGTACGATAAGTTTGATACTAAATGACCTGGCGAGAGGTTTTAATGTGGTGTTGTCTCGAAAATAAGGTTGTTTTTTGGAGGGGATTTCTTCCCCCCTTTGCCGATCGCTTGCTCATAAGGATTCCAAAGGCGACTTTTTCTTGGTGGGTTCTCTGTTTAAAAGGTCTTCAGTGTTCTATGGGAGGTGCTATGAGATGACGTATGTTGTGAATTGGCGCTACATAGATAAAATTGAATGGAATTGGAACCCTGGGATGTTTCTACGTGGAGTTTGCATGTTCCTTGTTGTTGCTTCCTCCATCACAAGGTTCAAGGTTCAAAAATCTTTAGTATCCCCGTGGGGAAATTTTTGTGCAGCCAGCAATGAGATAGTCACTGCCACAATCACACATGCAACAACAACAATAAACAACAGAGAAAAGACAAGACCCATCACTTATTTAACAGAGAAATAGCAGCAGGGACAAAATAAAATTTGTATCTATCGGTCTTGCACTTCGGCAGGACATACCTGCGCCCCAGTGGAAGTAATTGGAACCAGCGGGCCAAGGGATGGCTCTGGTCAGTGGTGATTAAATGGGCCTTGGCTAATAACCTGGTTTGATGTAGGGTTGCCAAGTTATTTAGATTAGTCTCTGCTATTTTTCCGCATAGTCTCACAATACCTTGTAGTCTGTTTTTGTTTTTAAGAGTGAGGGAGCCGAACCAGCCAAAAGCATGTTGAGGTTAATTGGTGATTCTAAATTGTCCGTAGGCGTGAATTTGAGTGTACTTGGTGGTCTGTCTCTAAGTGGGACGGCTGGGATAGGCTCCAGCCCCCTCGCAACAATAGTTAGATGTATAGATAATGGATGGATGGATGGATGGATGGATGGATGGATGGATTGAATTGAATTGAATTGAATTGAATTGAATTTTAAAAATCCTCAAAATGAAAGTTATTACTATTTATTTGACCAAAATGTAAGAACTCTCAAATCGATATGTACAGTACTTTTTTCCTAGTGGCCGCAGGTGTTACAAATACTGGCAACAGTGGTTGTTCCTCATATTATAGTTAATTTACTTACATGTTTTTATTTGTTTCCATACTTATCTGCTCCGTTTAACACAACCTGCAGTTCAACCAAAAAGTCTATGAGTTGTTTTCACGTGATTGTGGGTTTCATTAGAGTCAATGACTACTTCGCACTTGTGCCAAGAGCACAGAAATTTTAGTTTTTCACATAATCTGGTTTGTGCAAATGATTTATTTTTGGCAATTTTTTAAATCAGATGTGTAGAATGAAGTGATTTTTGATGAAATATCACAATTTTAAGCTTAGATTTGGTTAAGTATCCTGATGGAACAGCACATTACAGATCAGTAGTTCTAGGACATCGGAAAGTTAAAAATCTGTCAATTGTTTTTGTTTTTACAGTTTCTGGCTCTGATAAGTGGTGTGATTTTGACAGTTTTGTACAGATAGCATGCCTTTCAAACATGCAGAGGTCTGAGGGTTCAGATTCAGACTACTCTATTGTCATTCATGCAAATTACATCAAGGATGCACTGCAGAACGAAATGACGAATGTTCACAGAGTTAAGATACTCCAGAGGCCACTGTGCGGTGTGGTGCATTCAATGTACTCTCAGTCACACTGTGTTGTGGTAGCAGCTCTATGTCTCATTAAACTCCTCTCTTCTCCTCTCACAGGTGCACCAGTGGTCGCCTCTTTTCCTCATTTCTACCTGGCTGATTCTAAATTCGTGGGTGCCATTGAAGGAATGTCTCCAGAAAGGACGCATCACCAAACATTTCTAGACCTGAACCCGGTAAGCCACCAGGCTCATCAGCCTTCCATGCCCTTCATGATTAGTAAGATTAATGCCGTGACTCATGATTTTTGGTCACACTTCACTTTGTAATCCCATTTGGAAATATGCAGCGGCAGAACATTTCACTAAACTTTGTGGAAGTAAATGTCCCGCTACATGATGTCCTGCTGCACCACCTAGTGGCGTACATGTGAAGGTGCAGAGGTTGCATTTTTATACTCGTGACACAGTGTTGGTAGGAGTTGCTTTTCTTTACTTGATAAACATTTTTTTCATTCTGCTTTCCTTTCTTTCTCTCTCACAGACCACCGGAGTGATCGTACGTGCAAACAAAAGAGCACAGATCAACATCCTGCTCAACAGGATCAGTGGTTTCCCGTTAGTATCTGTGTTCAGACTAAACACTGTTGTTGTATACTACATACAGACGTATGCGTACCTGAAATATACTGGATTGCTTCACATTCTGTTCACTGTACTCATTACAGGAAAACGAGGAGCCTTAATGAAACCATCTTTCCAGTCATGTTCCTCAATGAGGTAAGAGACAATAAAGACAGGCTCAAACACACTCTTCCATCCTCCAACATGCAGTTGGATTTACAGTTGGAAGTCATAATAAAGTCATGCATACTTACAACATAAACATGAATACAACATTTTGGTAAATACACTTGTTGCAGGAGTTGGTTGAGGAGACTGACTCCACTCACACTTCTCTCCGTCCCACACAAAGGTTGATCAAAAAGCTATGAGACTGTGCCTATAAAAATCAAAGCACCTGACTTAAATTTGGCTGCCATCCCTGTCAAAGTAGTGTGCTTGTGAAGTGATGCACCGCTCCCAGTGCTCCTGCAACACCTGGAACCCTTTCGGAAAGTCCAATTTTATAAATATGTCAAGCGCTGACCCTTCAACTTTAATGTACTTTTGGAGAAGAGGAAGAAGTCAGGTGGGGAGCGATGATTGTGTTCTGGCTAAAAAAAAACCTGTTGGCCATCACCGCACCGTGCTGTGAAGCGCTCACATGCCATCAGGTTCGGGTTGTTTTCACCGAATCCTACAGGAGAACTCTACCTTGACAAGCCGACTCTGGGGGTTTCATTCAACCATGTGACGACCATGCTCCTGATGCTCTGCTGACTTGACGTGCCTTGTTCAGTTTTGCAGACTTCAGTATCTTCCACTGTGAATACTTCAGTTTCTTGGCCACAGATCCATCTTTATCATGAAAACATGTGCAACACACATCCTGATTCATGGCAGTCAGTGGTCGCACACGTTGCACCTTGTGTATCCGTGACACACTTGGTGCACGGCCACCATGAACCATCTCTGAACTTTATGATCAACCTTCATATACGTTTAGTTAGCTTACCTCAGCTACACTTTGCTTAGAGTAAAGAAAAGTGGCTCTGTAGTATCATCTGAGTGAAGTTGCTCTGCTTCAGGCAGAGGCTCCAAGTTGTAGCTATTCCTGATCAGAGAATAGTCGAGCCTGATAACCTTCCAAAAAAAACACAACTTCTTTTTACAAGAAGGTTTTTGTTTATAGGTTGTTTATTGTTTGTTGGACTCTATTGTCATGCCAGTATACTGTACTTGAGTGTTGGCCTGTTGTGTTGTTGGCAGCTGGTGTAGAACGCTGCTGATGTAAAAAAAAAAATGCATCACAGCTTTACGAGTAAAGTACAAAACAGATTTTAAGGTTCTTTCATTTGTCTTTAAAGCAATGCATTGCTGGCAACTGAGTACATTTCTGAACTTTTCTGCTCCTTCTCTACCTCTGGACCTCTTAGATCCTCAGAGCAGCTGCTTTTATTTGTTCCATGATTGAGGCCGGTAGAAAAGGGAGATGGTGTCTTGTCTTTGCAGTGGCAAGTCGAAAGCTTTGGAGTAGGCCTTCTCTTTTAATGTAACATTCTTGTTTCGTTGACAGTTTAAGGAAAAATCTCAAGATATGCATGTTTTCAAAGCTATTTGTTTTGTTTTAGAAATTGAGTATTTAGCATTTCTTTTAAAAGTGTTTTTCTGTCTTTGTCTTTGGTCCACTCCAGTTGATGCAAAATGTGCTGCATGAATACATTTGATTTGATTTGACCTTGAATTTCACTTCAGGCATTTCACTGATATTTTGATGAAAGTGCAGAGCGCGTGGTGCCTGAGTTGAAACAAGAGGCAGAACCAGGTTCATTTAAATCAGGCAGTATGAAGTAAGCTGTTGGCATTCTGGTGTAAAATGTGTCTGAGATTTTGCTGCACTGAGACAAAATGTCTGGTAACTGCTTCTGTTTTGAGCATCCATCTGCTGCCAACTTGGTGATTTCATCAACAAGTTGGCAAACAAAACAGCCTTTTCCCCGTTTCCAGTCCTGATACAAAGTTAGCCAGCTGCCAAACTTCCTTCAATGGTGACTGGTTTGTTATCTTGTACTTATTATATTTCCTCTTTCCTCTAATGGATCTGTCTGCCATTACACAGAGCGTGGTGATTGACGACGCGTCTGCAGCGAGAGTACAGAAGCTGCTGCTGATCGTCACCTTGGTTTCTAACTTCCCGCTCATTATTGTGGGACTTGGAGGCATTATGCTTGTTGTCTTCATCATCCTTCTGGTTCGGGCCCGCCAGCAGAAGGTACGGCACCCTTTCTGATCGAGTTTCGCTCTAACAACTTACAATTTGCATGCTCCTAATAAGTAATTTGTGTTGTTTTTTTTTTTGCATAATTCGTTGAGTTGCTTAACCACACACTAATGGCACTGTGCATGTATTTGTCACTGTGTGTCTCTGTGCAGAATGAAGTTAAGCGCATTGTGTTTTCCAAGCCGCTCTATGCTGTAAGTCTTTATGGTTATTTTTGCTGCTTTGTTTTTATTTGCTTACTTCAATCTCCTGTCTTTATTCCCCACATTTAATCTAAATATTCAGTTTGCAGTTTCGTGACTTTCACTTGAAATAATAATTCTGCTGCTGTACAATAAATATCTTACTGGGTTTAACACTTTAACTAAAAGGTATTTCACTGGCATGTTTAAGGAGATTAACGCCTTACGATTGCAGGTACAGCTGTAAAAAGCTAAGGTAAGATGTGATGGGTTTTTAAGAGGTGTTTTTTTTTGGTCTCCGACTGCAGACCGCTGCCGAAGACGACACTTCTTACTCTCCGGTCAAAGACAAGGAAAAGGATGATCCCCAAAATGGAACCTACATCGGTCTGACGCCTAAAGTCGACACATAAGCTTGAGGAAGAGGAGGATGGAGAGGAAACGGGGTTGTGTGAGGTTGGTTGGGTGGTTGTGGGGGTAGAGGAAGGGGACGTGGTTTTAGTATCAGACATACAATATGTTGTAAGTTTGATTCATGGAGAGCTACCTAAAATCCAGCACGGTGTATTCCCAGAAAAAAAAATTGACATTCATCTTAAAAACACCACGTGCCAGTGGCTGCTTCTTGCTGTTTATTAGTTGCAGTTCTCTGAAGACTAGAAATGGAGAGTGCACTTGTGTAAAAAAAAACACCCTTTAAATCTGGCGTGTGGGGTAAACGTACTGTTCATGCTGTGGCCTCGTCTCGGTATCTGTCTGGATTCTTGTTCTGAACTTTAGGGACTGACTACTCGGGGGTCATGAAATCCATAAACTGAGTTATATTTTTGTCATCACACATCACTCTCAGGGGGCCTCTGCTTAGACACTATCAAACATTACCGAAGCAGGAGAGAAGCAGAACACGCTGCACGTTTTCTCCATCAGCTCAGTATTACTACGAGCCATTTGCATTTCATCTTAAACCTAATGTTACGTAACACTTTCACAGCTCACTATTATTTTCTGTTCATGCACTGTAGAGGGATACCTGTGCACATTGTCGCTGCCGTACCTGAAAAAAAACCCTTCTGAGTACGGTGTATGTTTGTATATATACATATATATAAATATACAGTGTAAGACATGTTGAACTGCTCACATTCCTCTCGCTGTATGATGGGATGAATACCAGACAAAACGCTGTATATTTGGATACTTTAATTTTTGTAAAGTAAGACATCCTTCGCATTTTTTTGTTTGTAAATGTTAATGTAGAAATGTTTGAATGAAGGATATCTCGAGTTAGAGCTTCACGAATGTCTTCTGGTGCCATAATGAGCGACACTTTTATCGAGCCCTGGATATGGCAGGAGTTTGTGGTTGAAGCAATGATTCATACAGTACTGAATTTGTGTGTTGGCAGTATTTTTGCCCTGTATAACTGCTTATGTTAAATGTCATTTCAAAATGTTTTAAATGCTGTAGCTGTGCCTTTAAAGGATCGACGTTACTGGATTTTATTTTTTGCTTTTTTTGCTGTTCCATTTATAGTTTTTCTTTTGTAAAAAGAATGGCATGCCATATCAACAACTCTACTCTCAAGTGCATTTCGTTCTCTTCCAGCTACCAAACAAAAATTTTGCAAAATAGTTTTTTTTAGTACAGCCAGCAGGGTCAAACTGCACTTTGAAAACGCTCTGAAGTCTTGAATGACAGGCTGCCGTGCAGGGCCGCAGCTTTCTCACTCAGTGCTGGTGATGAATATGTTAGATTTCAGGTGCCATTTAATGTAATGTAGAAAATGCTGCACAATTACTCAGTTTGAACTGTGATGAGCCCAGCTTTTATGACTGCTTTTACACTTTGTCGTGACATTTTGAAGATAATGAGCTCTTTCACACCAGCTCATTACATGCACTATAATAATCAGCGTTGAATATATCAGACGATAGTGGAGACATGTTTTTTTCCTCCTTCATTTGATTTTTACTATTTGATGTATTCCGCAATCTAATCATGTACAATAAAAAAAAATGAAAATGAAAAAAACAAAAAAAAAAAAAATCATGCCGAGTGCATAATGTTGTAGTTATAAATTCACAAGAGGTTGAATGAATAGATTAATCAAATATTTGATGCAAAAAAACACAGTATTACACAACATTAGGATAGTTGTGGTTATGAAGGATAAGTTATTTTGTTACGTTGATAAAACCAAAACACACAAACGCACCATGTGGACTGTACACTGGGCTACTTTGTGCCATACTTTGATTACAGATTGTACTTTCTGAAATTATTGTTACCGCTATAACCGCATATTCTTCTAATTGTCAGCTTGTTTTCAAATGTTGACTGTTAATACTTGTTTTTACTCTGTACACACAAATAAAAAGTAGTTTCAGTAGATGTGTCGTCCTTACTTTCTTAAGTGTTTGTCTCCATTTCAGTGAAATAGGAAACCCATTCCACCTGTGTGCCAAATTGTAGAAAAACACTTAACACTGACACGATTGGATTTACAGAAAGACCTCTTCTAAACAGTGTGGTTTTACAATACTGAACTTGCTTTGCAACCATTGAAGCCTAATTGTGGATGACTAAAGTGAGAAGGAAAGAAAAATCACAGGTTTCCAGTGTTCTAATAGTCCTACATACAACTTATCGGGTCTGTGTGGTTATGTTCTGTTAGGCCCTAAATGTAGTCTTTTA